CCACCAGGACTTGGTTTTAAGTTGACTGCTGAAGGAGATTTTACTATTGAAAATAAGAAACTTTGTAACGTAGCTGATGCCGAGAGCAACGGTGATGCAGTAAACTTGAATATTGTAAACAAAGTTATTGAATCTAAAACGAACGCCATCTATGATGTAATCGGTTCCGTGAGAAATGATGTAAATGACAATGTAGTAAAGATTTTAGATTTAGAAGATTTGATAAAAAAATATTTTGAAAATCTAAGAATCAGTATTGAAAGAAATATAGAGATGATGTCTACCAACAAAGACATTATTTTACAATTAGACAGCAGACTGCGCACACTTGAAGGTAATTAGCAATGGAGGATCAAAAACTACAGTTGGTGAAAGAGTTACATAAACCAGCGAGAAAAAATTATAAGCGAAGAAGTGTTGACATTCGAGGTTTTGACGAGACTTGGCAAGCTGATCTTGTTGAAATGCAACCTTATGCGAGAGAAAATAAAGGTTACAAGTACCTGTTAACCGTCATTGATACATTTTCAAAGTTTGCCTGGGCTGTTCCAGTAAAGTCTAAAAAAGGTGAAGATGTGACTGCGGCAATGAAATCTATTTTAATTAAAAAACGCATACCGAAAAATTTGCAAGTAGATAAAGGAAAAGAATTTTATAATTCACATTTTGAAAATCTTATTAAAAATTATAACATTAATTTGTATTCTACTCATAGTAATTTGAAAGCGTCAATTTGTGAACGATTTAATCGTACTTTGAAGAATAAAATATGGATGCAATTTAGTTTACGCGGTAATTACAAATGGATAGATATATTAAGTGATTTAGTAAATGCGTATAATAATAGTAAACATCGAACAATAAAAATGAAACCAATAGATGTAAATGCTGAAAATGAAAATAATTTGTTGTTTAATGTATTTAAAAAAGTTGCAGTAAACAGGCAATATAATAAGAAATTTAAAGTTGGAGATAGAGTACGTATAAGTAAAGTTAAACATGTTTTTGAGAAAGGTTATACACCAAATTGGACTACAGATATATTTACTATAAGCGATGTAAAAAATACTAATCCAATAACATATGTCTTAAAGGATTATCAGGAAAATCTAATAAGTGGATGCTTTTACGAGCAAGAACTTTCTAAAGTTAAATATCCAGATGTATATTTAGTTGAAAAAGTATTAAAAAAACGAGGATCTAATGTATTTGTAAAATGGTTGGGTTTTGATAATTCTCATAACAGTTGGATAAACGAATCTGAATTATAATGTATTTAAGAAAGGTTAAAATAAAAATAAATTGAATTGTATGCATTTTTGTATTTATTTATCCTCTCTTTACAATAATTTACCATTGATATATTGAATATTTGACATTTGTTGAATAGCTTCATTTGATATTTGTTTACAGTGAAATGTGACAAGTTCCAGCAATAATGTCTCTAAATTTAAAACATTAGTTCTTCCCATCACTTTTTGAAGTATTCTACTGTAATGTTTTTTAATAAAATCCGTGGCATGTTTTGTAGACTTTACATTATTTTTAAAGATTAATTCTGCAATAAACTTTACAATTATATCTTTACTATACTGCAAATTGAATTTTGATAGTTCTACATATTTTTGTTCGACACAAGGAATAAGTTCATTAAATATTGCAAATGAAGTTTCACTAAATGTAAATGATTGATCTAAACGCTCAATTGATATTAAACGATATGTAACACTAAAACGTATTGTAAACGTTTCACAATCCAGCACTGATGCATCACAATCTCCGTTGAAAAATCGCATTATATGTTTTACTGCATCACACAATAGGCGCCATTCTTGAAGCTCCAAAGACAATGATACTCGTGGATGGCTGCTTCTTAGTTGAATTTTAGGTATTATTTTCCCATTTATGTCTAGTTCTGCTCCAACGACAACTTGCTTTGTAAATGATGGATTCAAGTTGTAAATTTTTGATAATAACATTTCTCTGCATGGTAAATATGACATTTTATGTCTTCTACTGGTCAACTCCCTCAGGAACAAACTCGATCTGATTGTAAGGTCCTCCACGATTTCTTAAATATACACCACCTCTGACAGCTTCAGCTTTTAGACTGTTGAAAAGATTTGCATCCTCTTCAAATATTTTTAGCATTCTTGGTGGTAGGAAAATGTTAAATTCATTATTTATTTTAGCAACAATTTTCGGACCAAATTTCGTATCAATTTTTCGAATGTCTGTTACTTTATAGAATGCATCGATGGTTAACTCCTTTGTTGTTTTGGTGACCAAGACTTTGCTTGCTTTGTTTAATTTATCGAAATTTATTTTCATCACTTAAATTTAAATTTTCCAATTTTTTTATTAAAATATTTAACTGCGACCTTGCTTCAATTAAACTTTTAACTTTATGTATTTCTTGAATTAATTTGTTCAAGCGCACTTGAATTTCACGACGTTGTTCTGCTAATATGTTCATTAACCAACTTAAACTGCAGGAATGATTTCGTTTATAAAAATTGCCCTCTTTATATACATGAGATATGACCTATTTGACCTTCAAGTTAATTATAGATTTCTTGGAATTGCGGTAAGATCAAAAGCATTCTTATAAAAAGAACCAAAAATGTTTGAAAAAATTCCTTAGATAAGAATCTAATAAACAGTGATTTGCAATATTTAGACGAAAATAATAATTCCAAGAATAAAATAAGTAAAAACAAAAACAGGAAATACCAATGATAATGAGTCATCCATAAAAAATTCCAAAACTCTGAGTCATCAACCCTATTTTGCGAAAAACAAAGAAATTATGCGTCATCGTTAAAGAATGCACCATGTAAAAAACAAAAACAGGAAATGAGTCATCAATAAAAAATTCCAAAACTCTGAGTCATCAACCCTATTTTGCGAAAAACAAAGAAATTATGCGTCATCGTTAAAGAATGCACCCTGTAAAAAAACAAAAACAGGAAATACCAATGATAATGTGTCATCAAATTCTAGGATTGTTTTATAATTCCAAGAAATTAGATAAATTCCAAGCATCACATTTGCATCATGATCTCAATACCCCCCCCCCCCGAAAATTCTAGGAAGTATGACGTCATATCCAGCTAAGCATAACAGTCTGAATATCCCCCCCCACAAGGGTTTGAGTCTTGGCTAAGTGGTTTGAGTCTGGGCTAAAAGTGTCGGTAACATGTCGGTGCAGGGATCTTGAGTTAGAACGCTCCCTGTTTACCTACTTCCGCCATTTTTAATTTTTGAAATCTGACATCGGATTCGTATTCAGCGACCCCAAAAACCCCCGAGTAACGAATTTGAGACGAATTTCATCGATTTTCAAAAACTTGTCCGCCATATTGGATCCGCCATTTTGAAATTTGCAAAACTAACATTCCATTTGAAATCTACGACTTCAGAAACTCTTGATTAGTGATTTCTGTAACTTTAGCACTTAACCAAATATTATTACTTGAATTTTTGCTGCAAATGTTTAAGGGATACTAAAAATGAAGAATGTAGTTTCGTTTACTAAATTTAGTGTAGAATTGTCATTTTTAATCCAATCGAGGTCCACAAGAGCTCAAAATTTGTGTAATGATATAGTCTATCAATAAAAAAATTAAAACCTAAACATTCTTTCCTGTTTGATGTAGAAAAAATAGTAAAAGTTACTCAAATGTCTAAAAATCATCAAAATTGTCATGAAATTTCATCTTTAATCGACTGTAACTCTTTCAATTTTTGTTGAATTTTATTCGGTGACCTATGGATCGAAAGGTAATTTAATAACCTTTCCAATGATACCTCATTTATTATATTTTGACAAGCTAATTTTCCTGCAGGTAAGTTTAAGTGGCGCCGCACCACGAAAATGCAAAATTTGAAGCTACAGAAAAACTGCGCGAGGGAAAAAAATTAAAGCTATGATTTTCTTACTCAACAAACACCTACTATTCGAAAAAAAATTGTTTTGTTCGATTGGCAAAAAAAAGTTTTTAATTTGTAAACCTGTGTAATTGTTAAAAATTCAATTTAAATTATTACCGCCAATATTACCGACGCCCTCTGTAATTCATTTTTGAAACGATATACACTCACACTTATTCATTATTCATTCTGCCATTTTTGTAAGAAAGCGTCAAGACGCCACTCATTCATTTTTTCACATTTTACAATAAATAAAGTTGTTCAAATTACCAATTTGTTTGAATTTAATATACAGTCCACTAGAGAAGAAACATTGGTCCTTCGAGCCGGATCAAGTTCAAGCATTGTGTTGTCCTCATAGACAAGAAAAAGTTATTTTACGTGTGACCGCATGGTCACATTGTTTTGAAAATCAAAATTCATTAATACAGCAAGTTTTTCATATCGTTTCGATAAACAGCCATCACATTCAACAAATCAAATAAAACATTGAAAATATAACTCTCAAGTATTTTTCTGCAAATCATCAATACATTTTCCTGCAAATCAACATTTATCAACGTTCCTGATACATGGAAACTGTCGAGTGTCAAGGTCAAACATCATCGCTATATCTACATTCAAATTCTGGAAGCAGTTATTTCTGAGAATGCAGAAAATCCGTGGCATCCAACCTTAGAGAATTTCGGATTGAAGAATTGACGGAGACGGAAAATAGCCGCTGGGAAGCTGTGAACATCAGGCCATCAGACGCAGCGTATGGGAATTTGAGGTTAGGACTCTCGCGTGTGTTTGTGGATCGTTCGGGTAAGTCATCATTATCTCCCTTGCTCTTATTTGTGCCAAATAAAGATCATTTTATGTTGAAATATAATTTATTAAAATATATGGTTTTTAATTCTTTAAAATAATAAATCCCACATGGTACCAATTTATCGAGGTTTGAATTTTTAAAAATATTTGGTGTCACATATAAATAAAGTGTTATTCGAAAAAAAATGCTCATTTAATCGAAAATAAATTTTCGTAAAATATAGAATGCTTTATTAAATCAAAATTCAATGAACATGGAATTAACAAAATTAACTCGAAAACGTGGAGCGGCTAAAGCCCGTGTCACTACATTCCGTAATTTCGTTATGAGTATTAAAGAAACGTTAGATGCAAACAATCCACTAACTGAACACAAGTGTGTTGAGTTACAACAGCGCCTAGATAAAATTAGTGATGTATTGTCAGATTTTGATAATCACCAAACTGAAATCGAATTAATTGTCGAAGAGGATAGTTTGCCCGGTCAATATCGCGAACGCGCGGAATTCGAAGATTTATTTTACAAAACTACAGCCCTTGCCCAGTGTATTCTCGATCACATGCGAAAACCAGAAGTTAAAATTGAATCCGACGATGGATCAGCTTCGGTACACAATTCACAGGGTAATCAGATAAACGCAACAAATCGGGTAAAGTTGCCAGTTTTAACACTCCCAAAATTTGACGGTTCTTACGATCAGTGGTTAGTATTCTATGATACCTTCAAGTCAGAAATACATTCGAATGATTCAATATCGGCAGTTCAAAAGTTTCGATACTTAAGTAGTTTGTTAACGGGCGACGCTGTCCAAGTTATTAAAGGTTTAGAAATCTCAGCTGCTAACTATCAGGAAGCATGGGAATTACTCGAGAAACGGTACAAAAATAAACCTCTCATGATTCATAATCATATTAAAGGCATTGTTGATTATCCGAGAATAGCAAAACAAAGTTTTTCGGCATTACGCGATTTATTAAACTCTATTCAAAGCAATTTACGTGCACTAAAAGCATTAGAGCAATCAACAGATGATTGGAATAGCTTATTAATTTATTTAATAACAGACAAGTTTGACAGTAAAACAAAAACTGAATGGGAAAAACAACAAATCGAAGAGAAAGAAATTCCAGGAGTTTCAAATTTAATTGATTTTATTGAAAAACAATGTCAATTACTTGAGAAAACTGACAGATCGATTAAAGAAACATATGATCAACCGCGTTCGAAACCTTTTAACAAACAACCGCAAAATAAAAATAATTTTGTTGCAAATACTGCAACAAATCAAGCAGCAAATTGTCCTATGTGCAACGATACCCATTCTATTTTTCAATGCAAAAACTTTCTCGATTTACCAATTTATACTCGCATTAAGGAAATAAAGCGTCTTAAACGTTGTCTTAATTGTCTTCGACCCAATCATTTATCTCTTAATTGTAAAGCGCAATTTTGTCGTAAATGTCAAAAACCCCATAACACATTATTACACATAGAAAAATCATCTGAAGGTCATCAGCACAGTGGTTCCTCAAATACTGCAACACAGGATGTCAAAAATGAAACAGTAAGTGGTTATGCGGGAAGCTATTTAAACAATTCAGGTTTATTGGCAACTGCGGTTATTAACGTTTTCGATTCAAATGGAAAGGCTCATGATTGTGTAGCGCTACTCGATCCAGGTTCTCAATCAAATTTTATCTCAGAAAGGATGTGTAAAATTCTAAATTTGAACTTTTCTTCTACTAATGTTAACATTTCCGGAGTTAACGAATCTCAATCGAGCATCTCAAAACAAACTAACGCTACAATTATGTCCAAACACAACAAGTTTACAGCTAATTTGAGTTTTTTTGTAGCCAAAAATGTCACTTCGAAGCTGCCTACGGAACTAATAGAAACATCAAAATTACACATTCCCAAGGATATTTTTCTTGCAGATCCAGAGTTTTACAAGCCTAAAACAGTTGACATGCTAATCGGAGTTGAACTGTTTTGGGAATTGTTATGTTATGAGAATACTGGTTATGACTACCTTCACAAAACAAAATTTGGTTATGTAGTTTCTGGAAGATTGCCCTGTATTAAAAGGCCAAAGGAAACTGTTTGCAATCTTTCTATCAATCTTCCTGACGTTTATCAGCAAATGGAAAAGTTTTGGAATTTAGAAGAGTGTCCAAAAATCAAAACTCTATCTTCTGAAGAGGAGATTTGCGAAAAAATCTTTTCCGATACAACAAAGAGAAATAAAGAAGGTAAATTCATTGTCACTATACCTTTGAAAGGTTCACTCGACTCATTAGGAGACTCTAAGGAACAAGCAACTCGTCGATTTCTATCATTAGAAAGAAAAATTCAACGCGATGCAAAATTAAAAGAAAAATACACAGATTTCATAAATGAATATGAGCAACTGGGCCACATGTCGAAGGTCAAAGATAAGGAGCCACCGAGGTACTCATTTTATCTTCCTCATCATGGGGTTTTAAAGGAGGACAGTTTAACCACCAAATTGCGGGCAGTCTTTGACGGTTCAATGCCGTCCTCAACTGGAGTATCCATCAATGATTTGCATATGGTCGGTCCTACAGTCCAGCCGGACTTACTTTCCATCATTATTCGATCTCGTATTCATTCATTTTTTGTAGGAGCTGATATATCTATGATGTATCGACGTGTCTTAATCGAAGATGAGCAACGATCTTTACAGAGAATATTATGGAGAACTAATACACAGGATCCGATACAAACTTATGAATTAAATACAGTAACCTACGGGTTAACTTCGAGTTCATTTCTAGCTATCCGGTGCTTGATGCAGTTAGCAAAAGAATGTGAAATTTCACACCCCGAAGTATCAAAAATCATTCGCGAGTCAATGTATGTTGACGATTTGTTGTATAGTGTAGATTCCATTGAAGGGGCTATTAAAAATTGCAATGACCTTTCTAGAATTTTAGCATCTGCTGGATTCCCTTTAAGAAAATGGTTCTCTAACGAAAAATTAATTATAGAGGGTTTAGAATTCGCGAATCAAAAACTGCCTTGTCACACAATTGATTTAGGAGAAAATGATACTATAAAAACACTAGGTTTATCATGGTTTAGCTCCTCTGATGAGTTTATGTATAAAATAAATGTGTCACTCGATTCAGAAACTTGCACTAAACGTACAATATTATCCGCAATCGCTCGTATATATGACCCATTAGGTTTATTAGGACCCTGCATCATCCTAGCTAAAATTATTATGCAAAAATTATGGCGCGATAAATCCTCTTGGGATGAAGCTTTACCGTTAGCATTAGCTTTAAAATGGAACGAATTTATTTCAGATCTTTCTTCATTGGAAACATTGAGAATTCCCCGTCACGTGGGTTGTTCATCACCAGTCACTCTCGAAATTCACTCGTTTTCAGACGCGAGTGAAAAGGCTTACGGAGCTGCAGTTTACGTAAGGTCAACAGACGAATTTGGAATCGTTCATTCCAAACTGCTTTGTGCTAAAAGTAAGGTAGCACCTATTAAAACCATCACTATTCCTCGTTTGAAACTGTGTGCGGCGCAAATGTTGGCTAAATTGGTAAATAAAGCAAAGGAATCATTCGATGTCAACATTACCGGTACATACTATTGGTGCGATTCTACCATAGTATTGAGCTGGCTTAAGTTGGAGCCTTGCACACTCAAAACGTTTGTTAGTAATCGTGTAGCTGATATTCAAAATTTGACGTGCATAACAGATTGGCATCATGTCTCTTCTCAGGACAATCCTGCTGACATGCTGTCAAGAGGTATGAAACTTGTTGATTTGAAGAATTCTTCATTGTGGTGGCATGGGCCAACATGGATGTTGGAAAATGATTTAAAATTTTCAAATATGGAAGAATCATCGATCAAACTCCCAGAAATAAAATCTAAGACTCAAGTAGCAACAAATGTTCTTATGAAAATGCCCATAATTCAATTCGAAAGGTATTCTGACTTAATGAAATTAAAAAGAATAATGTCTTATATTTATCGATTCATTAACAATTGTAAAGAGACTAAAACTATGCGAAAAACCGGTTCTCTCAGCGTTGAGGAAACTAACAAAGCCGAAAATTCTTTAGTCAAAATCGCTCAAAATCAATGCTTTTTCAAAGAAATTCAATGTCTAAAACAAAAACGTGATATTCCCAAAGGGTTTAAAGTTCTCAAGTTAAATCCATTCTTGCATTCAGACGGTTTTCTAAGAGTTGGTGGTCGCCTTGATAATTCAGACTACGAATTCGATAAAAAACATCCCAAAATTTTATCATCAAAACATCCGTTAACACGATTAATATTTTTACATGAACATAAAAGATTATTGCATGTTGGGCCGCAAGCATTGTTGTATAACATTCGAGAAAAATATTGGCCTATATCGGGAAGAAATTTGTCTAAAAACATTGTTCATGATTGCGTCACGTGTACTCGCGCAAATCCTAAGCCGGCTACTCAATTAATGGGAAATTTACCCAGTGATCGCGTTACGCCTTCGTCGGCGTTTTGTATTACTGGCGTGGACTACGCTGGTCCATTCCTAATCAAAGATCGTAAGGGTCGAGGAAGTAAAACTTCAAAATGTTACGTGGCTCTTTTCGTTTGTTTCGCTAGTCGAGCGATACATCTTGAGTTGGTCTCGGATTTAACCTCGGATAATTTTATTCTTGCTTTGCGGAGATTTGCTTCTCGTTGGGGATTGCCCGAAAAAATAAGGTCTGACAATGGTACTAATTTTATTGGTGCGCACTCTGAACTCAAAGAACTCGGAAATTTTCTTCGTAAAAATGAGACTGAATTAACTGAACGATTATTAAATGAAAGTTTCAATTGGAAATTTATTCCTGCCTATTCGCCTCACTTTGGTGGCATTTGGGAAGCAGGGATAAAGTCAACAAAATTACATTTGAAGCGAGTAATGGGAACCTATTTGTTAACTTTTGAAGAATTCTATAGCTTGCTGGCACAAATAAGCGCTATTTTAAATTCCCGACCCCTATCTCCTTTATCCTGTAGCCCGCTCGATCTGCAACCACTCACACCAGGTCATCTTCTCATTGGGAGGCCATTGACATCGGTTCCTGATCCAGACGTTACGCATTTGCCTGAATCGCACTTATCTCGATACCAAGGCATCCAGCGAATGCAGCAAAACTTTTGGTCACGATGGTCAAAGGAGTACGTTTCCGAATTGCAACAGCGCACAAAGTGGAAAGAAAGGAAAAATAGCATTCAAAAGGATTCACTCGTTTTGATAAAGGATGACAACTCTCCTCCAATGAAGTGGCTATTGGGACGCGTTGTGGAGCTTCATCCAGGCACTGATGGTCTAATTCGTGTAGTGTCTTTGCGAACTCATAAAGGAATTGTAAAACGAGCAATTACTCGCTTATGTGTTCTACCCGTCGACAATCAATCTTAAAGGATTGTTGTGTTCTTATTTGATCTTCGTTTAATTTCCAATGTTTTTTTTTTTCTTTACGATGTGTATTGTATTTTGTATTACTACGACAAGATTATACATATATGTAATTTTAAATAGGATTTAGTTTAACTTTTATTTTACATCTAAAGTTTTTATTGTATTATTTGATTATATTTGATTACTTTATCTAATCTTATTCCGATTTAAAGAATGTGTCAATTTAATTTTATTGATGGAACAGTGAATTTGATCTTTAATTTTGTTGAAAATGTACATTTTTCAAGGCGGGGAGTATGTTAAAAATTCAATTTAAATTATTACCGCCAATATTACCGACGCCCTCTGTAATTCATTTTTGAAACGATATACACTCACACTTATTCATTATTCATTCTGCCATTTTTGTAAGAAAGCGTCAAGACGCCACTCATTCATTTTTTCACATTTTACAATAAATAAAGTTGTTCAAATTACCAATTTGTTTGAATTTAATATACAGTCCACTAGAGAAGAAACAGTAATTATTAATGTATTTTGATTTTGATTCGGTAACGAAACAAAATTTACTTTCTATTTTGATTCTGATACTGTAACGAAACAAAATTCACTTCCTATTTTAATTCTGATACTGTAACGAAACAAAATTTACTTCCTATTTTGATTCTGATACTGTAATACTGGAATTCGGCTTTCTTATAGAAACAGAAGTCGATTCGAATTCTACTTCAGATTTTTTATGTAAAAACGATATTATCTTCTGATATATTTGACATTTGCAACAAAATTTAGGTTCAATGAGACTTATACATGCGCAGTAGTATTTTATCAAAATTAAAACAAAAAAGAATTTTGATTTTGATATTAGAATCAAAACTAAATAGAATGGAATTTTGATTTTGATATTGGAACCAAAACGAAATAGAGTGGAATTTTGATATTGGAACCAAAACTAAATAGAGTGGAATTTTGATATTGGAATCAGAACTAGATAGAGTGGAATTTTGATTCTGATACCCATATCCGAATCAAAACAAAAGTATTTTTTAATTTTGTTTTGATTCCCTGACGGTCCCTGATTTAAATCGTTAACTTTATAACTTTTCCAAGTTTCCAAAAAATGTCGATGAATAGATTCACCTGCTTGCTCCGAAAAAAGTCCTAATTATATTTAAAAGATAATAAAAGATAATAAAAACTTTATTTGCACCTTAAAATACAATATTAAAACTACAAAAAGAAACAATTGTTTCGTTTTTCAACTATTATTTACGATTTGTGGAGGGCACCAAAGTATGGCGATCTCTAATTTGTAAGAGTTAGCGGTGCTCCCGATACAGCAGTTCCTGACAGTCTAAAGTCAAAAAACAAAATTTAATTCTTAGTACACATAAATACCTAGTAGACGTATGTGATGGAATTAAAAAAAGTAAAAAAAAACGAAAATGGCGACCTTTTAAAGTCAATTTTTAAGAAACGATGATTTTGATCTTTTAAATTTTTTACTTTAAAAGGGCGCCATTTTCGTTTTTTTACTTTTTTTTAATTCCATCACATACGTCCACTAGGTATTTATGTATACTAAGAAAAAAATTTTGTTTTTTTGATTTCAGACTGTCAGGAGTGGCTATATCGGGGGCACCGCAAAATCATACGAATTAGAGATCGCCATACTTTGGCGCCCTCTACAAATCGTAAATAATAATTGAAAAAAGAAACAATTATTTCTTTTTGTAGTTTAAATATTATATTTTAAGGTGCAAAAACAGTTTTTAATCTTTTAAATATTATGACTGCGAAAAAAACAGTAAAGTGGGGCCAATATTTTAACTTCGCAAACGCAAGTACACCTCAATGAAAACAGTATTGGTTGAAAAAACGCAAGGACGAGCAGCTGGGATTTCAATATTTATTGATTTTGAATCGTGAGATGACGCTCTAAAAGATTGTACAAATGATTTTTTTTGGCGACGTAGAAAAACTTTATTTTGCTTCAAGATCACCGTGCTGTTCAATATCGAACTGTTAATCAGAAATCAGCAGTGTTACACATCCCCCCATGTTTCACATCACCCCACATCACCCTACATTAATAATGCAAAAGATTTTGATATACTAAAAATATTAATTATACTTAAAAAAACCCAAAAAACCTCTCCGAGTCACAAGTTTCAAGTACATAAAATTAATTTTTCAGAAAAGCGCCTTACACATTATAACATTAAAAATTTTGAAAAACTAATTACAGATTCGTAATCAGTAACCCCGAAAAGCCCCGAGTAGCGATTTTTAGCCAAATTGAATCGATTTAAAAAAAACATCCGCCATATTAGATCCGCCATTTTGAATATTGAAAAACCAACATTGGATTCGTAATCAGCGACCCTAGAAACCCTTAAGTATACAATTTCATAAAAATCTATCAAAGCGTTTGTCCACATTAACAATTTGTTGTAAACTTAATTATTTGTTAATATGATTTGTTTATAACATTCGAATATTTACCTGCACAAATTTTTTACAATTTACAGAGTACTCTAGGTGTGTTTCTAAAAAGTTTTTAGCACGTGCCATTCGATTATAGAGGCTGGAGATAACTTTTTCTTAAAAATAGATGCTTTTGTTAAACTTTGCAATAAAAAAATAAATATAAACAAATTGAAATTTAAAATTCGGCCTCGACAAATCTCTTCCAAATTTAATAATCTTTCATTTAAAACAAAGTTCAGTAAAATCGGTTAAAAAATGAATGCTCTAGACTATTATGAACAGTAAATTACAGTTTGGTCCCACTGACGCCGGGCCGTTCCGCAACGACTACCTGCGTCTAATGGCTACCTGTTGGGCAGAAACTGCTCAGATGATGATGATACAAATACAGAAAGATGTCTATGATGCTTTAATTACAGATTAATGGTAAAAAATTTTTTAAAGGAAAATTTTTTTCATTTTTTCATAGGTATGTTGTATATATCTCAAAACTTTAAACACCTATTTCTCAAAACACGATTTTTGAAATCTGCACGCAGCATAACTCGTACAATTTTCAGTTTTTTTACTCCAAATTTTTATCACTTCTTGAAAATAATATTCCGCATAGAAATACGTAGCCGATTTTCGATAAGTTAAAATTTATATTTTTGACATACAAATAAGTATCCATTTTTTGGTCGAAAATTTGAATTATAACTTTGAAAAGCTCACCAATTTAACAAAAATGAATATTTTTAAAATCGCCTACGTATTTCTTTAGCTATTCTAATGTAAATTTAGAAAAAAATCTGTTTTGTTACAGATTCATTTTAAAAACCTGTAGACTGCGTGCAGTGGAGGTCCTAAAGGAAAAAGCGTTTTACGCGAACATCTCTCAGAGCACTATTTTGCATTATTTTTTAATAAAAAAAAATTTTTTGGAAACTTTAAAAGACGCCTAAAAACATCCTTAAATATAATTACTCTCCAACTTTTCTTTCTACAAAAAAAATCGCAAATATACGTTAATTTTGTAACCTTCTACAGTGGCATAACCCCTTAAGTCTTATGTCTTAAGTCTTAAGTCTTAAGTCTTAAGACAACATAATAACCGTTGCCATGGCAACCGTTAAGTCTTATGTCTTAAGTCTTAAGTTTTAAGTCTTATGTATTAAGTCTTATGTCTTAAGTCTTAACCCCTTCGCAGTCAAGACCAAAATCTCATAAGTGGGCTCAAAATGTCGACAATTTTTTAGAAAACTAAAATTTGCGCAAACGAGCATACTATTGTATTTAAAGTCGCTGATTACGAATCCGATATCAGATTTTGAAAATTCAAAATGGCGGACCCAATATGGCGGACATGAAAATTAAAAATCAACTGAATTCATTGAAACTTGTTACTCGGGGGTTTTCAGGGTCGCTGATTACGAAACCGATTTCAGATTTTAAAAATTCAAAATGGCGGATCCAATATAGGGGACGAAATTTTCTAAAATTCATCGGATTCACATAAAACTTTTTACTCGGGGGTTTTCGGGGTCGCTGATTTACGAATCCGATTTCAGATTTTGAAAATTCAAAATAGCGGATCCAATATGGCGAATGAAATTTTCTAAAATTAATCAGATTCATTTGATAAATTTTTTAAAATGTCGCAAGCCATATTCGAAACGCCACATTGTATTTTGAAAATCTTATGCTAGATTCGTAATCAGCGACCCCGAAAACCGCCGAGTAACAAGTTTTAAATGAATCGGACGAGTTTGTAAAAATGTCGTCCGCTATATTGAATCCGCCATTTTGAATTTTTAAAATCTGAAATCGGATTCGAAATCTGCGACCCCTGAAATTCTTCGAGTAACGAGTTTTAAATGAATTGGACGAGTTTTTGAAAATGTCGTTCGCTATATTCGATCCGCCATTTTGAATTTTTAAAATCTGAATTCGGATTCGTAATCAGCGACCCTGAAAACCCTCGAGTAAAAAGTTTCAAGTGAATACGATAAATTTCAGAAAATGTCGTCCGCCATATTATATCCGCCATTTTGAATTTTCAAAATCTGATATCAGATTTGTAATCAGCGACCCCGAAAACCCCTGAGTAACAAGTTTCAAGTGAATCCGATGAATTTTTGAAAATGTCGTCCGCCATATTAGATCCGCCATTTTGAATATTTAAAATCTGAAAACGGATTCGTAATCAGCGACCCCAAAAACTCCCGAGTATAAATTTGTGGATAAATCTGTGTGTTTTTGTAGCCAAAAATCTGCTTGCGTCTATACACGTCATCGACAGTTTGAGCCCACAGTTTGAGCCCCGTCATGGTGCACCATGACGTGTATGGGTGATTAAATTTAAAATGTCATTTTTGATCCTACTAACTTTGATTTTTCGATGTTAGATTTTGAACTTAACGATACTCTATTTTGGTTGACTAGAATATATTATGATGGACAAAAATAATAGTGGTCGAGCAGGTGGAAGATAAAAAAAAAATAAAATTAAACAATTAATTAATTAATAA